TGTTCGGCGAACATTAAATTGACCAATCTCTGATAAGTCGCTCCTGCATTCTTTAGGCCGAAGGGTATAAACTTTATAGCAATATAGTCCCTTGTCAGTAGTGAAGGCTATGTGTTCTTGGTCTGGAGGGTTCATGAGGATTTGGTTTGAATCCTGAGTAAGCATTTATAAAGCTCAGGAGTTTCACACCCTGCCGTAGAGTCTATAAGTTTGTCTATGAAAGGAAGAGGAAAGCTATCCTTCGGGCATCCTTTGTTTAGGTCGGTGTAATCGACACACATTCTCCACAAGACCTTTTTGGAGCAGGAGACTTTCCTTGGTCGGATTCTTCTTAACAAGGACAACATTTGCTAACCACGTTGGATAATTGACTTCGCGAACGAAGCATATGCCTTTGAGTTTTTCAACTTCTGCCTTCATTACCTCGTACCGTTCAGCGTCATAAAATCTTTTCTTCTGTCTCACTAGCTTGGTCTTGGGGTCAATACTTAAGCGATTGACAGATTATATCGGGAGAAATGCCTGGCATGTCCTCGTATGACCAGGCGAAGACCTCAGTGTTCTCTTGCAAAAAAGATATCAATGCCAACCGAATGGGTGGTGACAAAGTGGTACCAATCTTCACCATGCAATCTGGATAATCTTTTTGAGATAGAGACATTCTTTAACTTTTCGGCAGGTTGTGCTTGCTGGGTGAAAGAATCATCTCGAGGATCGTCGGGTTGACTGTTGCCACCGTGAAGATCCAAGTTAGCTTTGTCTGGGCTGGTCTTTATGACTTAGTCATGTATAGAAAAGGTTTCCTTGGGCACAGGCAGGTGTTGTTGCTTGACCGAAGTGTTGTGTAACATGATCGTGCACTAAGTTGATCTTCTCTGATGTAACCATTGCTATAGGGGGTTGGAAATTTCATCAACAACATATGTGTGATACCATGGCCTTAAGATCATTGATGCCTGTGCGTCCGAAGATGACATTGTATGCCGTTGAGCAATCAACCACCAGGAAGTCAGTGGTAATGGTAGCTGTGTAAGGGCATGTACCAATGGTGAAAGGTAAATGTATGCTCCCCAGAGGTTGCACGATATCACCGGAGAAGCTTATCAAAGGGGAAATTAAGTGATCGAGCAAGTGTTCAGCTACATTAAGTGCCCTGAAAGCTTCAGCAAACATGATATTGATCGAAGCCCCTATGTCTACCAGGATTCGTCGTACTTCAAAGTTGGCTATATGAGCTTCCACGATCAGTAGGTCGTTGTGAGGGTAGATGATACATCTTTCTTCCTCAGGGTAGAAACATATTGGATCCCAATTAGGCTTTTGATACTTACCTCCCCTGATGTCTTCCATATGAAACACTTGGTGGCCCGACCTTAAAGCTCATTCACTATTTTTCATAGTCCTGTTGGAAGATTTAGATATGGGTGTGCCACCACTTATGGAATATATCACATTCACCTGGTATTGGTTACGGTTACCCCTTGGAGAGTCAAGGAGGAATTGATCAATTTTTCCTTCACGTGCCAAAGCTTTAATATGATCACGAAGGGTGATACACTTCTCGCCGTCATGGCCGTTATGCTCGTGGTAGCAGCAAAATATGCCCTTGTTCTTCATGGGCTTGTAATTCGGGTGCCTCGGTTTTGGCTTTGGTATCAAGTGTGCTATGCTGGGGTAAATGGCTACGCATGTGGTGTTCAAAGGTGTGTATGCCTTATACCTCGGGGTAGGGGCTGTCCTGACACGTGCTTGACCCACTGTGTTGACTGCCTGGGGTCAGGGATTATCGTGGTGATACCCTTGGTTATCGCGGTAGTGTTCCTTACTCCTTTTACTAAAATGAGACTGGAGAGGATAGAAATCTTTCCTTTTGCCCTGAGATTGATATGTTTGTTGACTTGGCAAAGTATTAAGTAAGGAAGGGGGAGGCACCACTGCCGTTTGGAAGGTCGAGGTCTTCTCATTTGGTTGGATCTGGGTTCCACTCCCTACTTGCTGATAAGGGGTGGCTGTGGGGGGTTTCCCTTGATATATCTTTGCCTCGGCGGAGGCATGGTTGTAAGCCTGTGCCATCACCTCAGAGTAAGTTTTCCAAGTGTTGGCATTGATCATGTACTTGAAGAAACAATCACGTAGGCCTACCATGAAGGCCTTGAGGGCGATCTTGTCATCTACCTCAGCGCAGCGAGAATACTCATGGCTGAAGCGACCGGCATACTCTCGTAGTGACTCATCCGGCTTCTGGCGAATAGTGTACAAGTCATCTGCAGAATGCAAGCGATCGGTCTGGAAAATGTGTTGAAAAACAAACAGTTTCCTCAATTCCTCAAATGAGTCTACCGTCTCAGGTGGAAGACGGCAATACTAGTTTAGAGCTCCGCCAGAGAGGGTGGAGGGGAAGAGAAGACATCGCTTTTCGCCGTGTGTATCCGGTATGCTATGGTGGACTCAAAGAGGTTAAAAGTGTTCAATCGGGTCCTCTTTTCCAGTATAGAGTTGCAAGCCAAGCTTCTGTTTTGTCTTTGCTTGGAGGGGGGTGTCGAGGATCCTCCTTGTAAGAGGGCCAGGCCTACGTTGGTTCCAATCAGGTATCTCAGCTTGTCGTTCGACCTTCAACTTGTTTACTTCCTTAAGAAGCTGTAGGACAAGAGGGTCCTGAGTGGAGTCATGTACCAATGGAGCTTTCTTTCGTAAATCTCCATCTCTTCTTGGAAGTAGGAAGGTTTGATCAAGAGCATGTTTGTCGAAACATCTCTGAGTCCCCCTATACCTTTGTGTTTCTCTAGGACTTGTTGCCCCTTCCCCAAATTTGGTAGCCAACCTGGGATGTGGGAGGGGACCGAGTTTTTCATAAAAACCCTTGGGTCATTAATCTTCGAGCTTATGTGGAAGGGATTCTCTTGACGTTACTTTAGGAAGTCTCGGCAGTCACGATAAACGGCTTTCGATCCTTCCAACCTTTTTACAATAAGGTGTCTTCCTCCACTTCTCCTGCTTCGGGTCGAAGCAGCTGGGTTGAGAGAAGTCTCATGTTGATCAATGTTTTGATGATTAGCTCGCTCCTCATCAGGGATACCCATGTCGAATGAAGGTGACCCTTCTTATTGGGAGGCATCCAGATGATGGTTGACGTCCACAAGGGTAATGAGTTCGTGTGTTTGAGTACGCCTAGTTTCGTGGAACATCTCAAAGAGTTTCTCATACTGCTCCTGGAGGACCTCATTCTTCATTGATATCTGGTTGTTTTTGAGATTCTAGCTCATCGACTTTAGCTTGAAGAGCAACCCTCTTTCCTTCCTTCTTTCATTGCTTTCGCACTAGGTGCAAGAGGGGTGTCATTCTGTGTGCTTGTGGCTTCCTTCGCTCCCCATGTTGGAGAGGGATGCCTGGTCAAAAGAGAGTGTACGAATGGTGGAAACCAGCTTAACAAAGCTTAAAGAGAGTGAGAATAAGTGTCGTTCCCACAGACGGCGCCAAATGTTGATGCACAAAAATCAGTGAGGACTTTGGTACAACAGAAAGTGTTAAGTTTGTGACCTTCGCTAGATTGCTCCGGTCACTAGTATGGATAAGTATGTAAATGGATAGAGATAGGGAAGCAAACACAAGATGTACGTGGTTCACCCAGATTGGCTACGTCCACGGAGTAGAGGAGTTCTCATTAATTGTGAAGGGTTTACACAAGTACATAGGTTCAAGCTCTCCTTTAGTGAGTACAAGTAAATGATTTAGTACAAATGACATTAGGAAATATTGTGAGAGAATGATCTCTATTTATAGAATAGAGTTTCTAGTTTCATTCTGACATTGACACGTGTCGTGTTGTGATTGGCTTCTGATGTTGACACGTGTCGCGCTATGATTGGCTTCCTGATTTGAGGGAAACTCTTCTGGGTCCTTGATGGTATAACGTTGACCGGTGCTCAGTAGTTTCGGGATTGGTCAAGTATGGTACAAACATACCTGATTCAGATGTATTGGAAGGTGAAAAGTTGGTGGAACTTGCGTGACGAATATTTGTCGTGCAAAAGTAACATTTCGTCGCGCAAGTTTTTCCCGCCAAATTAAATTACCCACGTTTTCTTGCTGACTTTAAGCGACGACAAAAAATATTCGTCGCACAAGAATACTTAGCACGACGAAATTTTCATCGCGCAAGTTTAATTTATTTCTTTTCTCTATTTTTTTTATTTTGCGTGACGAAATTTTTTTTGTCGCGCAAGTGCGTCTTGTGCGACGAATTTTTAAGTCATCAAATTCAAACCCTTGATGTGCCACCTAATTAAGATGGTATATATGCATGTGCTGGGTTGAGGTCAGTTTAAGTTTACTTAGTTTTCCAAGATGGTCTTTATTTGTCAACATTGTCATTAAATATTTGCAAGCAAAAGCCATATATTATATATGTGGGGGCAAGCAATGTCAACTATATATATGATGATTTAGTCGAATAGTTGCCTGTATTTGCTTAGTTCTTGGACATATATATCCTTTATTCGTTCAATTTTGACGGGACGAACTGGAATATATATAGTTGATGATTTGATGGAAAATACCTTAAACATACATATGTGCATGCAATCTGTCACTCATGCAGGGCAGGTGAGAGAATAGAGTTTGTTGCTTGAGTTCTTCCAAACTATACCAGCGAGCAGCTTGGGACCAAAGATAGAGTGTTAAACGAACAAAGGTCACAAAAACTATGAGAGAGAGCATTGGATGTGCTATAAAACCCTAACAAGTAACAAACCACCCCATAAGATTGGTTGAATATTGGATATGAATATTTGAAGGTAAAGGATCCCATCCAAGATCGACCAATTGTGGACCTGAAAAAATCCCATCTTTCGAAAATAAGTGATTGAAATGCAATCTGTCGACACGAATATTATTGAAGGTGGGTGTAATAATTGTAAATGGAAGAAAGTGTTGCTTTAATTAGTCATTAGGTGTAACTAAACGCACATGCGTGGTTCCATGCAAGTATCACTCAAAAAATTAATTTCATTTGTGGGGATGATTCTTTATTAATGTCGATTGATTTGGTAGTAAGACAAGCATTTCAAGATGGAGAACAAGGCCATGAGATGCTTAAATCCACATATATATGTGCTAAGTGTGTACCACGTACGTACTCCAACAAAAGTGATCAATAAAAATTGGTCTCCACTGGAAATGGTTTTCCCCCGAATCAAACATAAATTAAAAAAATAGAAATCGATTTTACTAGATAGACTATTCTATATCATAGCGTTATTTTTCCAGAATCACATGTTTGAGTGATGAGAAACTCTGAGTAGTGTAGCAGTACCGGGCGAATAGTTCATTCAAGTAGGGTTTACAAATGAATTGTTAATTTGATGAATCTTTGATGTAAATTATATATATGTAAGAGTTCTAGTGAACTATGTTTTATTTCTATACCTATGGTACTACTATTGTTACACGTCATCATGTTGACTATGAGCGTATCTCGATATCAGGACATTTGTTCTGAACATTATTACATAAGAATCATAAAAACTGAAAATAAAAAAGGAAACAAGTTTGTTATCTCAAGAAATAACATTGTTAGATAAAGAAACACTTGAAAGAATGCTCAAGGTCTTCTCTGAAAATGAAGCAATATATCCTTTCTCTAGAGACTGATACAAGCTAACCCATGTTAAAAAACGCAACCCCATATATAAAAAGAATACATAAAGGAATCCTAGACATGATCCTAGCTAACTTAAGAACGTACCTAAAAGGTTTGTTTGAGGGAAAAGCGGATCACTCTTCAAAATAAAATCTTCTTTTTTAATAAGCCAACTTTTTTTCCGGATAAGTAATGCGTAATAACTAAGATCCTTTTCTTTTTCCTCAGTTAGCTATCAAACCTAGAGCTTGCAACAGAAGAAACTAAGAGCTAATTGATATAGAAAGGAGGGTTTGTTGTAGACTTGTAGCAACTTTAATGAACAAGCTGTGTGGTTCAAGAAGAAACGGGTAGGTTTGGCTTGTTTGGACTTGTTTGGGCTTGTTTGATAATGCATGTGACGCAAAAGAAAATACCTCCATCACTACCTAAATTTTCTATATACTCTCTAAGTAACACATGTGCACATGAAGGCCACCTCGTGCACCAATTAACTTCATTGGGGCCATGCGATAGGAGATTGAAGAGGAAAGTGACCTAATTATATGTTAACAATTCATAAAAAAAAGGTACAAATTATGAGTTTTCTTCAAGAAATCTAATCAGAATCAAAACTAACTAAAAGTTTCTTGATGATTAGATGTATTAGGTTCATATCTAATCCCATTATGCTCTTATGAGATACAATATACGGTGGTGCCCTCGTGGGAGTTATGTTTTGTATGTTTCAATTATTAGTTAATTACAAAATGCTTACTTTTGGAAGTACGAATTTAATTAGTTGCTAAATAAATATACGTGCAAGGTTTAATGACACACAATCTTCATCTCGTTGCCTGAAAATATCATAAATTCTGAGTTTCATGGATGAAACTTGAATAAAATTGTGAGTACTTTTTTGTTTTTTTTTTTTTTTTTTTTTGTGGACGGATGAAAGTGTATGTACCTGTGCCCAAACTTAAAGGTACATAGCACAGCAAAGAGGACACGAACTTTAGCAAATATTCGCAAATAATGAATATATTTTAGTAGAAAGACTTGAAAAGTAATATCGAAGATATTAATAATAAGAATGTAGGAAATAGAAAGACAATGACAGTCACCAAATTGCCTCACATGAAGAAGGAATCGACCAGTATAAAGACTGGAGCTTGGTTTCTATTGGGAGAGATGGTGGATATGTTCTTGTTTATTTTGAAAACTGACAAAATGTGGTTAAAACAATAGGGGCGTGGGCATGACATGAGGGCACGATTACTGCTTAAATATTCACACGGTTTAAACAAGGTTCATGTGCACGCCTATTTTCATTCGGTCCCATGTCCCTCTACCTTTTAATGTTTGGTATTGTGTACATCAATATATATGTTGTTTAAGGAAAAGTGTTAATTGTTTTGTACCGAGTGCTAAGTCACCTTTTCAATATTTAAATATTTAATGATCGATAAAGTATCAGGTATTGTAAATCGATAACAATATATCGACTGATCACTGATGATCTCATATTTTTAACATATAAAACTGAAAGTGTTAAAAAGTATTATGTGACGAAACATGAAAAGTTTGCATATATAGTAGTAGAAAATTTTTTGTACCTAAGAGGCCACACATGCTCTCCCCATCACTTAATTCAAATTGTCTAAGTGTTTGACTCAAGTGAGGCCAAATTAACACGTTAGGTGGATCCTCCCCTAGATGTTATAGAATCATGAGAAAAAATTATGGTAACATGAGTCATTTGGTGTATTATACGCATTGTGATAAGGTTGGACGATATGATTGATATGTATCACTTGTAGAGCATATTAATATAACAAAAATTAAAAACAAAAATAAATAAATCCACATAGTTGATAGAATAACAACTCCACGTAGCAGTATTTTGGGTATACCAAAAAATTGATGACAAAAGCATTGCATAAGAGCTTTTAAGTTTTTCTTTTCTTTCTAATACAAACAATAGACTATATCATCTAAACTAGAAGGAAAATGATTTAAACTTCAATGCAAAAGAAGAGTACATGTACTCTAACCAACTTGACTAAGCCCAAATCTGAAATAATTTTTAAGTTAAAAGTGCTCTCATTCTATCAAAAAGTTGTACCTTTAGAAAGACAACTATAGGTAACTACCGGAAAGCAAAAGAAAACTTGGTAAAACCCCTACTGGCAGAACTACCATATATCGATCCTTATAAATACCTAGCATCAATAATTTCCCAAGACAGTTGCCCCTCTTTCTCCGATCACTCTCTATCTCTCATAACACAAGGAATTAAGCAAGCAGCCTAGAACAAGTAAAATAGAAACAAAGGCAATGGTTGAAGCAGCAGAGCAATCCCAAAAGTACCCGACAATGGCAGAGGTACAAAATCGCACAAACATTCAAAGAATCTTCTTCATCGCATATTATCATAAATTAATTTCTATTGATTTTTTTAGTTCATTTTATGAACTTTTCGAATCTTGAACATGTTCTAGGTGGTGGAAGAACTTCACAGAATGACACATATTGGCTTCCCAATTGCGGCCATAAATTTAGCGGGTTACCTCAAAAACATGGTCCTAGTTGTGTGCATGGGAAGGCTTGGAAGTCTTGAGCTAGCAGGTGGGGCTTTAGCCATTGGCTTCACCAACATCACTGGCTACTCAGTCCTCTCTGGCTTGGCCATGGGCATGGAGCCTCTATGCAGCCAAGCTTTTGGTTCACAAAACTTCTCCATAGCTTTCCATACTTTACAAAGAACTATTCTCTTATTGCTTCTCACTTCTCTTCTAATTGCTTTGCTTTGGTCCAATCTTGAACCTCTATTGCTCCTTCTCCATCAAAACCAAGATATAACAAGGATTGCAAGCTTGTATTGCCAATTTGCCATCCCCGATCTTGTTACCAATAGCTTTCTTCACCCCATACGTATTTTTTTACGTAGTCAAAGCACAACATGGCCATTGATGTGGTCCACTTTACTAGCAATCATTCTACACATTCCTCTCACAATCTTCTTAACCTTCACTCTTACCCTTGGGGTCAAAGGAATAGCAATTTCCACTTCTCTTACCAATTTCATAACTCTATTTTTTCTTGTGGGTTACATGGTCTATGACCATATCACGAGAAAGTCTTTTTATTATTTGGTTACGGACCGGTGTGAACCCACTACTAAGTATGATACATCGCAAACATTGTACCAACCCTTATTACCTAAAAAAGTAGTACCACTTTCGTTGAGGAAAGTGCTAGGAGATGACGAATGGAGGATGCTAATTCGACTTGCTTTGCAAAGTTGCCTAGGAGTTTGCTTAGAATGGTGGTGGTACGAGTTCATGACAATTCTAGCCGGTTACCTTCACAAACCTCACATTGCCCTAGCCACATCAGCCATAGTGATACAAACCACTTCTCTCATGTACACATTGCCAACGACACTAAGTGCATCAGTGTCTACACGAGTAGGCAACGAGCTAGGGGCAGGCCAACCCAAAAAGGCACGTTTGGCGGCGGTGGTGGCGGTGGGGATGGCACTAGTGAGCTCATTGTTGGGCTTGTTATTGACCACTCTGGGGAGAGAAGCATGGGGGAGAATTTTCACAGATGATAATGAGGTTTTGGAGCTAACAATGGGTGTGCTACCAATTGTTGGACTATGTGAGATTGCAAATTGTCCACAAACTACAAGTTGTGGGATTTTGAGAGGAAGTGCTAGGCCAGGCATTGGGGCATGGATTAACTTTTACTCATTTTACATGGTAGGTGCGCCTATTGCAATAGTCTTGACGTTTGTTTGGAGATTAGGGTTCAAAGGGCTTTGTTATGGGCTTCTAGCAGCTCAAGTTACTTGTGTGGTGTCTATATTAACAGTGGTCCATAAGACAGATTGGGAGAAAGAATGGCTTAAGACGAAAGAGTTTGTAGGAAAGAATAATGATGGAATGGCTGCATTTGCACATGCAGATGAAACAGTCAAATGTGAAGAGGGTGTTGCAAATTAGGAGATTTGAAATGTCCAAAGGATTTCGTGGGATGTTGGTGTTTCTAAAGAAGTAGAATATTTTGCATGCTGATTGATCGATAGAAGAACAATCGCACAAATAGTTCCCATTATTCCTTGTAATTTACGATTTGTAATGTTTTTGCGTTTGCTGTCCAGCTATTTCTAGGTGCTACTTGTTTTTAGTTTTACATGTATTCTTCTTGTACTAGTCATACAAATTTATATTATCTTATAACTTTGATCTTTACATGTGTATCTGATTTTAGGGTGGAAATTAGGCTTACTAGCTACCATTACAAAATACTTAGGTTTACAATCATAGCTCAACTCTAACTTGGTCTAACTTGGCGATTCGATTGTTTCTGGTATGTCCATATTCTTTAGTTTAAAATTTCTGAATTTTTTTTTATTATCTTTATTATTACATCACAGGAATTAAATTCTAAAATAATTATAACCTTAACTCATTACCTTACCCTCCTCCACGCTTGAGCTAGCCTCAAAGATGTTATTTAGAAAAACTACTCCTTTTATAGCACATAAATTTTTCATAAGGCTTTTTTTTTCTTTTTTTTTTTTTTGTCATCAAAATGATAAAAATTTATTAAAGCCGAGACTTATATCTACTGCAAGAATATTAAATAAAAAACTCGGACCAATCTCATTCCAAAGGAACCCGGCACCATATTCGGTAGCAAACGAAACCATCTCGTGAGCAGCGAAGTTACATTCCCGGGGATGAACCCGAACTTAACAAAATCAAAATGCATAGCTAAAGAAACAACATCAAGCAGCGCCCTTTCTAATATTGCATCCCTTTCCATCTCTCTATTAATCATACGAATCAAAGATTGGGAGTCAGACTCGACCTTCACCTTTGTACAGCCGCTGTTTCTGTAAAATATCAATGCTGCCCTCACGGCAGCAGCCTCAGCAGCAATGGCAGAACAAAAATAAATTTCCCCACACCTCCAGTTCGCTTTAAAATCCCAGCAAAGTCTCTTAACAGCCACCCAAAACCACCCAACCTCGTCTTTGATTTCCAAGCACCATCGCAATTAATTTTCAAGGTTCCAAATTCCGGCTTCTTCCAACCTCCCTGCACGCCCTTGCCGACGGAATACCTCCAGGATGACACGGTCCCTGGTTATCAATCTTAACCATCACATCTCTAAACTCACTCACCTGCCCCCTTCACAACTCCAAAGCCTCCGTTAGATTCTTCATAAGTTGTTAGATAATTACAGATCACTAACTAATCACTCATATTTTACTTTATGCACTCCCTGCTTTTTATGTAGTCTCTAAATTAAGTAACTAAATAAAATCAGGAGACATAATAATAAAACAGTGCAGATAAAAGAGGAATGCAGACATCAGTCCTTAGATAACTTAGTTTTTTTTTTTTTTTTTTAACAAACGATATTATCTACACAGTTAATAATAAAACGCTATCTACAAAGAAGAAAATAGGAGCCCAACCATCCTAATATAAACCATTTCACCGCTGCACAAATCTTGAGTTTTATTAGTTTTGGGCTTTTAATCCTCAAGTCCAAATTGGTGAAGAAGATGGGCCTATGGTAGAGACCTTATTTTCCTACGTAACGTGTTTTTTTACATTAAGAAAGGTGACAACGGTAGGATTTCCTTGAAAAAACTCCCCCCTATGAGAGAAATTATCTTCCCTCGTTGACCCCTGTTTTTAGACTCGGCATTATTCTCTCTTTGGTCTTTTCTCTCTGTTTTCCTCCTTGCTTCCTATCTTATAACTATCTTCATCCTTTGATTGTGGTCACTCTTATCGCTGATGAGTCTTTATATTTAAGGAAAACTAACAAAAATGGTTTGAAAATTTTGAGTTGTAATGATAAGAACAAAATAAAGGGTAAAATGAATAGTACTAAAATTGAATTTTTAGTGTAAAAATGTGATTTTTGTTAAAGTGAATAGTATCGGAAACTTTTCGTTAAAATTCACTTATATTTATGGTTGTGGTTGTGATCGTCAGCTCACTTTGTCAGAGTAAAGTCTTTGTTGGGTTCATGGCTTACAACTCAAGCTCAGATTTTTAAGCAACAGTTGTTCAGAGTCAAGGGTGGTGGTTTTTTTTCTTGTGGTTTTTGTCCATGGCAAAGAACTATGAGAAGGAAGTTTAATGTTTGTGGAGTGTCTCGTAGTAGTGTTTCTTTAACAATAGTTGCAAGATCATTAAACTGTGTTGCAGTCTTTTTCTTGCGGTGTCTTTAGTAGGCTAAGGATCAATTGTATTGTATTTTGGATAAGATTGTAATTGTGAAGTTGTGATGTTTTTTTTTTTTCACCAATGTAACCTCTTGGTTAAATTTGACGTGCATGACCTATTGGCACTCTTAATAAAGTTTCATTTGAAATCTCAAAGGGGAAAAACAAATAGTGGCATACCACGTCAACCAAATGAAGGGCTGGTTTGGTAGGGCTGGTTTGGTATTGCTGTGTTTTGAAAAAAAACTGTTGTAAGAATAAGCAGATGTGCTGTGAGAATAAGCGGCTGTGAAATAAATCAGCAGTGTTTGGTAAACTTTTTTGTAAAAGTGCTTTTGGAAAAAAAAACAGTTTGATAGTGGGTCTTTTCATTAAAGGAGCCATGTAGCTCCGTATGCTTTGAAAAGAAACCAGTTTTCCAAAGCTGCAAATAGTAGCTTCAGCTTTTTTCTTTGATTTCAGCTTATTCTCATAGCAGCTTCCAAAATAAGCCCTTTTTTTTCAGTTTACCAAACACCTAAAACCCTCACAGCATTTTTTCATGGATGCTTTTTTTTTAAGCACCTCACTTCCAAACCACCCCGAAGTCATGCCATGGTTAGAATGAGAATAAGAATACTTATTTCTGATTCTTGAGTTTTTTGTGTTTACTAAAGTAATCATATGTTAATATTTGGGAAAATTATGAACCAAATCAAGCAGACGGGGTTAGTGATCCGATTTCCTTTTCTATTACTCCCCTTTTTTAATTTCCTGATTCCTTCTCTCATTTTAATTAAATAAACAGGTCATCATTGTTTCTTTCTTTTTTTGTTTTTGGATGAATATTTTCCCATTTAGCTACCTTTAAAGTCTCAACCGAATAAATGTCGCTTTTTCCTTTTTCCCTTTTTTCTGTTTAAGGGCGGGCAAACTGATGAAGACGATGGTGACTGGTTTGCAGAGCTTGCACAAACACTGGGTCTGGGGCTGCTTTTAGGGTTTTTTCTTTTGGGGGGGGTCAATAAAATGATTAAAATGAAGAAGCTGCTTTAGAGTTTTGCTTTCTATTATGCAGGCCATCATAATGGTTCATTGAAAACCACCATTGAAAGCCACATAAAGGTAAACTTGACACTTGACAGTGGAGGTAGCTGGGAATGTAATCAAATGTTGTCCTTCCTGAAGGTGTAGGAATAATTAAGAAAAGAAAGATGCAAACCCTAGCATGAGTCCAGAGTATATAAATGGAAATTTTTTACCTATATTAACTTCATCGAGTTTCAACAACAACAACAACAACAAAGCCTTTTCCCACTAAGTCGGGTCGGCTATATGAATCCTAGAACGCCATTGCGCTCGGTTTTGTGTCATGTCCTCCGTTAGATCCAAGTACTCTAAGTCTTTTCTTAGGGTCTCTTCCAAAGTTTTCCTAGGTCTTCCTCTACCCCTTCGGCCCTGAACCTCTGTCCCGTGGTCACATCTTCGAACCGGAGTGTCAGTAGGTCTTCTTTGCACATGTCCAAACCACCGTAACCGATTTTCTCTCCTCTTTCCTTCAATTTTGGCTACTCCTACTTTATCTCGGATGTCCTCATTCCTAATCTTATCCTTTCTCGTGTGCCCACACATCCAACGAAGCATCCTCATCTCCACTACACCTACGTGTTGATGCTTTACCGCCCAACATTCTATGCCATAAAGCATTGCCGGCCTTATTGCCGTCCTATAAAATTTTCCCTTGAGCTTCAGTGGCCTACAACGGTCACACAACACGCCGGATGCACTCTTCCACTTCATCCATCCATCTTGTATTCTATGGGTGAGATCTCCATCAAATTCTCCGTTCTTTTGCAAGATAGATCCTAGGTAGCGAAAACAGTCGCTCTTTGGTATTTCCTGATCTCCGATCCTCACCCCTAACTCATTTTGGCCTCCGTTTGCACTGAACTTGCACTCCATATATTCTGTCTTTGATCGGCTTAGGCGATGACCTTTAGATTCCAACACTTCTCTCCAAAGGTTAAGCTTCGCGTTTACCCCTTCCTGCGTTTCATCTATCAACACTATATCGTTTGTGAAAAGCATACACCAAAGAATATCATCTTAAATATTAAGTTTGTGATCTTCGCTAGATTGCTCCGGTCATTAGTGTGGATAAGTATGTAAATGGATAGAGACAGGAAGCAAACACAAGATGTACGTGGTTCACCCAGATTGGCTACGTCCACGGAGTAAAGGAGTTCTCATTAATTGTGAAGGGTTTACACAGTATATAGGTTCAAGCTCTCCTTTAGTGAATACAAGTGAATGATTTAGTACAAATGACATTAGGAAATATTGTGGAAGAATGATCTCGTAATCACGAAACTTTTAAGTACCGAAGTGTGGTATCGTCTTCACTTGCCTTATCTGTCTTATAGGTAGATGTGGCATCTTCTTTGGAAGTACTCTTCCTACCTCCAGGGGTGGTATCTTTAACTGGTGGAGATGCACAAGGTAATGTATCAATTTCACTTGACGCTTACTTGTAGTTTCAGGCTTGGTCAAGCGCGATACAAACCATGTAGTAGGAGTCCCCCAAGTCGCCGAGCTAGGGGATCTGCTGAAAGAGGTGACAGACAAGGTAAGCAATTAGAGCTCCAAGCAATCAGTCCCAGATCAGAAGTTTTGATTTCGAGTTCCGGCTGATTGTTATCCTTCTCCTTATCTTGCAGGTAGCATGAAGGATAAAGAGAAGAAAAGGAGAAAAGGTGATATGAGATACTTTTGCTTTTGAAGAAGTAACTTTCCACAGACTTATTCTTGAACTGGGCTGGAGGGTTTTCTTGTTTCCACCAGAGTATAAGGCCGACTGAAGAATTTGAGGGTCAAAACAAGTCCATCAAATCTAGAGTACATTCGACCCTGCTGATATGGGATACTTTTGCTGTTGACAAAGTAGTGGATGTATCGGCAC